TGGACCCAAATGGACCCAAATTTCTTTTTACTTTTTTTGGGTTGGGTTGGGTTTAGATTGGGTCCAGAATGGGCCTGTATATTTGGGCCGACCCAAATGGGTCCATTTGGGTATAAGTTAAATTTTGGTAAGTTGGCTGCCTTCCACAATGGTCCAGGGTGACCTGCCCCATTCTTCTCCAATGACTAGTCCCATGATTTTGTCGTGTGCAGCTTCCTTCCTCGATCCAGGAAAACTGATACCACATCTGGGTGTTCTGTACAATTCGACAGAAATAGAAGAAAAAAAAGAAGAGAAAGAGGGTATTTCCTATGACAAGTAGTCTCTCGTGTTTCTTCTCCAATTAAGCAAAAGCTCTCCAGCAAGAAACTCAATGGTTCTTACTTCTTAGCTAATTTACTAAGCATTAAGCAGCTATTTCCTACGAACTCAATTCCAAAGGCTTGAGATTGACACAAAAAAAACCCCACAAATTTTGTAGCTGAAGCGTCCTGCAAATCACAACAATTCATGGCCATCTTCATCGAGATTCCATCTCTAGCCAGCTGAGTGATATATTCCACCATTGCTGCCCTGCATATTTCACACCATAATTGAGCATTCCAAGCCCCAAAAACAATTTCAATAGGAAAGACAGCTAAGTCTGACAAATCCAATTAGAAGTTGAACAAAAAATTCAACTCAATCTAAGGAACCACCTGATTCATACAAACCTAAACCACAAAAACAGAATGCTTCTTGGCACCGCTTCAATTGTCATGCTCCTCCCCATCTTCATAAAAAATATGTTGTCTTCGCCTGCAGAATTACTTCCTCCTTTCATCTACAGATTTTCATTGGGTTTTCTCAATTAGGGTTCTATGGTTTCTTGCTCCTCCTCCTGTTCTTCCTAAATTTGAGGTGGTGGCTAGGCTAGGACTTGTGGATCATCAATTTCTTTTTTGTTGGTGCACGAAAGGGAAAGATGGAGCAGAATAACGAGGTTTGATGAGGTTGTTGGTGTTTAAGATTCATTGTCCTTCCTTTAGCTTTTGCAACCCATCCCAAAGTATTTGTAGAGGTGAGCAATTGAAGTTTAACAAGAAGAAGAAGAGTATCAGCAATCAAGTGCTTTGCTCAACAGAGCACACACAATTAGCCGAGGAGGAAGGGAAAGAGGTTATTACAAGTAGTAGTAGTAGTAGTGCTGTGGATGATGACGATGAAGGGATTCAGAGTTGTCTGAGGAGTGGTGAAGTTACGAAAGGGGATGATGCCGAGAGGAACAAGAAGAAGAAGAAAGTGCAGTGGGTGGATTTTGTAGGGAAGCCACTATTTGATATCAGAGAATTTGAACCCACCACCATTTCTCCTTCTTTCATATTCAAAAATATATATCATCACATCACAATGCACGCTATATCTACTCCTTTCCTCCATACAATTTGCATCTGGTGGCGTTCAACTTAAAACTAGTCCGACTCCGACACTAAACCTAAACCCAGAAACAATATACCAAAAAAAAACCCAAAACCAAAGATGAGACAAGTAAACCAAACCCAAATGAACGAAATCTTAGAGTGCGAGATACAGGGGAAAAGAAGAACCGAGCAAACAGAGAGGGGGCAAGATCTAGAAGAGAAGAAGATGGGGCAAACCTGGAGATCGAGACCAGCACGAGAAGAGCGAGAGGTGGGTTTCTTCTACTCTTTGTCCTTGTCAATTGACACCAGCTAGCTTCTAAACGGACTGGACAATTCCACAGCCTCGGGGTCCGATGGTGGGGAAAAGGAGAAGCTGGCGGCGTCGGGGCCGATGGTCGCTGATCGAGAATCGGGATTGCAGGTCGGCGGCGGCTTCGGGGCTGATGTTCACTGATCAAGAATCAGATGCAGGCGGCCGGCGGCGGCGTCAGGACTCGGGATACGATGGTGGAGATTGGAGAAGCACAGGTCGAAGTAGGTCAAGGATGAAGAGACCCGTTTGGGTTCTGTAGGATTTTTTTGTTTTTTTTTTAATTAATTTTCTGGGCCTATCTTGGACCCAATTTAATTGGATGGGTATGGGTCTGCTCCAAAACAGAAAAACCCAAAACCTGATTTGACCCAAATTCTCTTGGGTTTGGGTAAAACTCATACCCTAAGACCCATTTGACATGCCTAGTGAAGATAGTATGGCGACGAAGGAGCGAGGCCATCTTGTGACTTCGACGACGAACCGAGCTTCATCTCCGCTTAAACCTTTTCTTCATCGCTCATGACTATCGATTGAGTGGAAAAAGATCGAAAAAGGGGTGGATTTTAAATAAGCTCTAATACCATGAAGAATTCTGATATCGCGGAAAATAGGGAACACGACAACACGAAATTTTACGTGGTATCCTCGTTAGAACGAACGAGACTAATCCATGGTGAGCTGAGCTCACGACTGATGATTATTATTGATTGATGTGACTCTGTTGCTTGGTTGGACAATGGTCGAAGCAAGATTTATATAGAAGAGGACTCGAAACCTAGAGAAAAGAGAGAGCCGACTTGTAGGGGGAGTAAGTTTCCTTCTTCATGAACAACACGAAAACTTGGACAATAAGCGACATAAGGGCCTAAAACAATGGACAATGATGACATGTAGACAATAATGACACGTAACACATCGCGATATCATATATATATATATATATTTTTTTTTTGCGAAAAGGGAGGCCAAGGCCAAGCAACAGAGGGTTACAGGGGAGAGCTAAGACAAAGGGTCCAAGTGCGTGACTACACGCCGCTCAAAAGTGGTTCCTATTGTGTCTTCCCAAAGAATGTGTGTTAAGCCTGGAGGCGGGTTTGCAAGCTCATGCGTACCGTAGGGATAGACGAGACTGTGCTTCGAGAGCCAGTCCGCGACTCTATTCCCTTCTCGATACGTATGAGTGATGCTAACCAGCCAGTCATGGCTTAACTTCCTCCGGATTGCCGAGAGAAGGATGGCATAGGGGTGCACCAGGTCATGTCGCGATATCATATATGATCACCAATATCGTCCACATAAATTTGGACAATAATAACATCATTAAATATACGCTTGATAAATCGGATTCCAAAATAGGAAGATCGCGAACCGACTCTCATTGGTGGTTAATGTACCTTGCATGCACAATTAATGATCATTGCCTCAACATGTTCGAATTTGTTTTTCTTTTGTCTATCCCAAACTCATTAGATTTTACACTTTTATTCGATTTATTAAGAAGGTATTTTTGAATATTTTCAAATGGTTTTTCCCAATGCAGTCAAAATCGTGATTTTAAGTAAAATCGAAAACTAAGATAAAATCAGAATCGTAGATTAAAATCGTAAATAGTAAATCGTAAGATTTTAAGGTTCATATTGAAATAAACATTTAAAACACCATATAGTAATAACAATGCATATAATGAATAACAATCGCCACATATAACCTAATTACTTACCAAGATAAGTTTGTTTGCTAAATAAACACAACTAAATCCATAAATTTATTCATGTAAATAACATAAACACACAAATAAGCAACCTTAAATCTCATAGAAATCACTTAATTCAATAGTTGAAAATTACATCAAATCGTTAGAATCAACATTAACATCACTCACACAACATCATCATCATCATCATCATCATCACTCTCACTCTTATCCTCGAAGAATCCTTGTCTATTTGCTTGCGGAATGATATCATTATTCTTAGGATCACTTGAAGTACTTTCACTATTAACCATATTTCCTTGATCACCATCATATGGCAAAGGTAACTAACTCATTGATTGATGCATTCCCTTCTTAATCGATAAAAGGTCGGGGATAGTGGCGCTGAAGGATTGAGAGATGAACGAAAGCTTCCAATAGAATGGAGATTAGATAATTGTGAGGGTGGTGGGAAAAAATTACGAGCTAATTGGGAGGGTGGAAGACATCGTTAATGGAAGGGGTCGGGGCGTTGGCTTGCAGAAGAGGCATATATGAGGAAGAGCATGAAGATAAATCGAGGGTCGCCGATCGAGTTAGGGTTGTGTTGTTCATTATGTTGGGTCGGGAGAAGTAAATTTGACCCGGTTCATGGGCAAAACTTGACCTGAGCGAGCATATTTTGCCCCAATTGACATGAAGCTTGAAATCGTACAAAACCATAGATTTTGAGGATTTTAGAGTTTTATATCGGGATTTTATGGGATTTAAGGTTCAAATATGTTATAGTGAAATCAAGATCGGAACTCATAAGTAAGATCGTAAAATTGGGATTTTGACTACATTGGTTTTGCCCCGCTAATGAATCTCAAGTCTCAACACTAGAGTCCTAAAACTGTATGATCTTTAGGGGTCGTTTGGTTTTGGTGATTGTTTGGTGGAGATAGTTATATTGCATGTATTGTTCACAATGCATTGTTTTTTTGAATTTTCTGCACAAACAATACATGCATTGTTTGCTTGATTTGACGCAAACTATCACTCAAAATGAGTAGTATAACTTGTTTAAATACTACAATAACTATCACAAAATCCAAACGATGTAAACTACAATACACAATTTTTCTTATATACATGCATAATAATATACATACATTGACAATCCATCAATTTAACTATCACAAAACCAAACAAATCCCTTTGCTTCGCACCCATCATTATAACCGAACAAAACAAAATGGTTTTTGCTCCAATGTGAAAAAGCATCACCCCTATCCTTAATTACACTATACAATCTCACCCAAATCGTCGCCATATCAGATCATCATTCCCATCCATCCCCCCATCGTTGTTATAAGGAAAATAGAAAGAAAATAAAGGTTATTATTGCCACTTCACTACAACCCCATTTCTCTGGTCTTTCTTAATTCAAGCTATTAACCCCCTTGGGTGTCTTTATTTCCACAGAAATTCAACTCCAACTCCAACTCCAACTTTCCCCTCTGTCCATGCTTTCAACTTCAAGTGGAAGCTAAGCCCTCCAGAAAGCAGAGGGCATTCATTCAAAGTTCAAACTCCTCCCCAATTTTCCATGGAGGAAACTTCATCGTAAGCACCCTGTTTCCCTCCCTTTCTCTCCTTCACCGGAATAAATTATTCATTTGTCACTATAACTATATATAATAATAATTGCTCGCTCTTTCTTTATCCGCCATTTCTAATTCTCGATTATCGTCTCCCGGTCGCAGGTTCGAGACGAGCGAGATGACGGCCAACTTCCTGGCCTCCACCCCTCTGCTGACGGAGTCGTGGCGCCTCTGCCAGCTGGCCAACGCCAGCCACGGCGCCGTTGGGGGCGAGGGCGAAAAGGTCGGATTCGCGGCGGAGATTGGTGGGACGACGACGAGCAGGCGGGTGGGTTACGTGGCGTTTTCGGCTGCCGGAATCGCGCCGCCGCCGGGGGAGCCCGGGGGATGGGGGAAATTGGTTGGTCTGGAAGCGGCTGGGTGTTGCTGGGCAAAGAGTCTCTTCTCCGATCGGAGGAGTGGGGAAGAAGGGGAGGAAGGCGGCGGAGGGGGAGAATTGGAGCCTGTTATGGTTTGCGGTGAGCTGCTGCGGATCTTCTGGTCAGTATACCAGGATACGCGCTTCCAATCCCAGGTCCCTCTTTTCTCTTGCCTCACTCTCTCGCCCTTTCCTTCATTCTGCCGCATGCTTAATTTCCATAATATTTAATTTCCTTCACTCTCAGCAAATGACCCCTAAATTTTTAGTTTCATGAGAATAATATTTCTTACCATCAACTCATTTATGATTTATTCGATGGTATCCTTTTAAATGCATACACACATTCTCTTACATAAAGAATTTTATTGCATACTTCTTAAGGAGTCCTTTGGGTGTAGTAGGTTAGAACAATGAAGCATTGGTTGATTGTGTTGTGCTTATTTTTTGGATTTTATGATTGATTTGTCTAAATTGGATTTTTTATAGATTCAAAAGTGAATTTACTTTTCTATTCTTGAAATTGATTTATTTTTTAACAAATAAAACATTTTTTTTGGGATAATGGGGACAGTTCAAATTATGAATTTGGAGGCTTGAAATTTAATTTTCCAAATTTTCCGACCCACACATTTAGGCGGAAAAAAATTCATAGTAATAAACCCTTGCTAATTTGGCACTCTCTTTTCAGTTTATAAAATTCTTTACACGTGAGATCTGGTGTTGGTGCAAAAATCCATCCAACACCAAATCAATCATATAACTCTACCATGGTGTAAAAAATGAACCCTAACTATACAATCACTCCAACCACACTCTCCTCTATGATTATTTCAATAACGAAGAAAAAGTCAATATATGGCTGCTTTCACCGAGTCTTCCTTTTTCATTTGCCTTGGAGTCACGGACACTCTAATGGAGTTGACTGGTAAGGTGACTGACTGAGTTGCGTAAGTGATTATCTTTTTCTTTTTCGTAAAGGAAATGATTATTACCCATTTGTATTTGTATCGATTGTTCTACGATTTTCAGATTTTGGGAAATTGTAGGACCAGGACCACCCTAGTTGCCTACCCTACTCCTGTTAATCATTCATGCCCACTATTCTATAATGTTGAATTCTTGCGCTTTGATTTGTCTCAATTCTTAACCCAGAGAATACCTTTTGTGGGCAATAATAATGCACAGATATCAGAAGTAATGCGGGAATGCAACTCTGTAGTGGTGACAGGGCATTCAATTGGAGGAACAATAGCATCACTGTGTGCAATTTGGCTACTTTCTTGTCTGGAATCCACCTCTCCCCGCCCATCTGTCCTCTGCATCACCTTTGGGTCTCCACTGCTTGGCAATGAATCACTCTCTCGAGCCATTCTAGCCCAAAGATGGGCTGGAAACTTCTGCCATGTCGTCTCGAGGCACGACATCGTGCCAAGGCTCCTCTTTGTCCCAGACCTTGCTCCTGTCACTCACCAGCTCCACTCCCTGCTCCATTTCTGCCACCTCTCTTTGTCAGCTCCACAGCTTGGAACTTCTCCGCTGGGTCTGCTGCAGCAACTCACAGATGAAGCCAAGACAAAGCTTTTCCATCACGTCATGGCTTCGCTGCATGCACTGTTGGAGTTTGGAGGAGAAGGAAGGAAGGCGAACAAGGGTAGTTCGTTTTCGCCCTTCGGTAACTATTTCTTCTGCTCCCAAGATGGTGGAGCCATTTGCGTGGACAATGCAGCTTCTGTCGTCAGAATGATGTATCTGCTCCTTGGGATGGGGTCACCTAGTTGTAGCATTGACAGCCATCTAAACTATGGAGTTGTGGTAGAGAAAGTCTGCTCTCAGTTCCTGACCAACAGAAGCTTCTTGCAATCCGAGCTTCCTGAATCCAGCTATGATGCCGGTCTTGCTCTGGCCTTACAGTCCTCGGGGATCGATTCCCAGGTATACTTCATTAATGCACTGCTCTACCGGAATCCACAAAGTCTACTCTACGTGTGACTAAGGGTGATCTCATTATGGCTTCTTTTCTCTTTTCTTTTTTATCCATTTTTGCAGGAACCGATTGCAAGACCAGCGAAAGACTGCCTGAAGATTGCCAAGAGACTGGGGAGAAAACCAAGCCTAAATTGTGCCAATCTAGCTATCAAACTGTCGCAGGTAACACCTTACAGGGCTGAAATCGAATGGTACAAAGAATCCTGCGACAGGTGCGATGATCAGATGGGGTACTATGACTCCTTCAAGCACAGAGGTGCCTCAAGGAGAGACGCCAAAGTGAACATGAATCGCCACAAGCTGGCCCGGTTCTGGGACAATGTGATCACCATGTTGGAGACCAACCATCTCCCTCATGACTTCCACAAACGAGCCAAGTGGGTCAATGCCTCTCAGTTCTATAAACTTCTGGTTGAGCCACTGGACATAGCGGAATACTATAGAATTGGTATGCAGCGGATCAAGGGACACTACATAACATGTGGAAGGGAGAAGAGGTACCAGATCTTCGACAGGTGGTGGAAAGAAGGAATCGACAGGCAAGAAGAGAGCAATACGATGATGATGGTGATGAGGAGCAAGTTTGCAAGCTTGACACAGGACACATTGTTCTGGGCAAGGGTGGAGGAAGCCAGAGAATGGTTGGAGAGTGTCAGGACTGAAAGGGATCCTGGGAAAGCGGCCGAGTTATGGGAGAAACTCGATGGATTTGAGAGGTACGCAAGAGGATTGGTTGAGAAGAAGGAGATTTCCAAGGACGTTGTGGCAAAAAATTCCAGCTATTCCTTGTGGGTGAAGGACTATCAAGAGGTGAAATCACAAGTTGAGACACTCTTGCGCCCCCAGTTTCCTAATTTGATGGATGCGGAGGTGGTTCCCTAAAAGTTCTTATGGTAACCAATTACGGTATATATGCTTCTTCCATGTAGATCTTGGATAGTAATAGTACTATGATTGATCGATTTTGTAATATAGAAGTGGGCAGGACACAGTATTTTCAATTTTGCATATACGAGACGGTTCACCATGACGATACATAGTAAAGCAGGCTTCCATTAATGTCCAAGTGGTATCAACGCAGAGTGATCTAATCTTCTATGTCTCCAGTTCAGCTTTGATTAACGATTATTATCTTGGCCTAATAGTCAACACTAATCTCATTAAGGAACAAGGCTAGTGTTCCAATTTTTTCAGATGTCCCAGAAAGGACAGACAGGGCTAGTGTTTAGCCAGAGCCCAGAAGAGAGTTGCTCTTTTTGAGTTTCTCTAATTACTTGGCTAAAGTCACTTGAAGAAGCATAAACGCACACTGCTTGGAGCAACAATGAGAACAGAAATGAAAATCACTGCTGTAGGGTCAATTGTATAATATACAGGAAACATGAAGCTGGAGCTGACAGTAAAAAATTCAAACCTTACCATTTGGGGGATCAATATTCCTCACAGGCCCTTTGAACCATTTCCTAGCATCCAACACCCACCACAGCATTATTAAACCTAGACCAATTCCTAGTGCCACTGGTGCATAGTTGAAAGTGTCCCAAGAAATTGGGTACAAAGTAGGCAGCAGGAACACACAGCAAGTATAGCAAATCCAGGTGAAGGCAACAAAGCAGATGGGCCTTCTGGCTTTCCCCAAGTAGAATGGCCCTGCTTTGAAGTCCTTCTCATCCATCACCATTCTTGCAAATATTGGGACCGCGTATCCACCAACCCACCCGATTGTGCATATAGAAGTTATGGCTGTGAAGACAACATTCACTTTCAGTATTGGGAGCCCGAGAAGAATGCAGATGGCTGCGCAGAGCCACACCGCGTTGGAGGGAACTTTGTGCTTCGGATGGATTTTACGCCATATGGATGAGAATGGGATACCTCGGTCTCTTGATAAAGCATACACCTGAGGAGGGCCAAGAGAAGGATACAATAAATAAACGGGGTAAAACACCTAAACATGACTCAAATGCTGACTCCCAAGAAGACATAGCATGAACATGAAGTGAAGGATTGTTACCACTCTAGCTGCACTAGTAGTTATTGAGAGGCCACCAAAGAAGAATGAACCCCAAATCACAAACAGCAGCACAATTGCCCCTGTAGAGTTCTGATACCTCCCATGGAATGCATCGTATAGTATTTGTGCCGGTACAAATGCTCCTGCAGTCTCATTACTCGGATCATACAAGTAACTGAAATCCTGATGAGCAGTAAGGGGCATAATTAGTGCTTGGAAAATATGAGCAGAAGCAAAAGAACTGGTGCTTGGAAAAAGCAGGTACCTGGATGCTGAAAGTGAGAGCCAAGATATAAGCCCATCCAAATACCGATATAATACCAATGCTGGACAGAATTGCTATTGGACCATTTTTATCAGCGCCTTTGGTTTCTTCAGTTAGATGGGCTGCTGCATCATATCCGTACAGAGAGTACTGACTAACAAGAAAAGACAGAACGACTGCATAAGGTTTGCTCGATATTCCAGTTGACTCTGATCCCACTTCAAAATGCGTAAACACATAAGAAGCAGATTGTGTGGTTGTTGCCACCAGTGGAAGTAGTATAACAATTACCAATCCGCCAATCACCTGTCATCAATAGTACAAACACATCTGAAACCGACTATATTTTTTCACATTGGATTGCAGATTCAAATGAACTGTTACTTACCTGCCACCATATGGAAATGATGTCAATAAAGGCAATGACTTCCAGGGCAAAAGTGTTGAGGAAAGCCCATATCAGAGTGAGACCCACGTACATGCACAAGAAGAGCCATTTAGGAGCAAAGTATCCTCCACCTTTGTTTGTTCCTGTGCATAATAATATGATACTCTGCAGCGTTTGCGACCCCGCGTATGCCTGTCAAAATCACTCCCCACAAACTCAACAATCGATCCGGGATAGCATTCTTCTCGCAGCATAGAAATCAGGTTTACTTTACCTGAGTACCTATGCCTGCAACAAGTCCTATGGTCTCGAGCCAAGCACAGCACCAGGATGCAAAAGGTCCCCATCTAGGACCAGCCAAATGAGCAGCCCAGAAATAAAGAGAACCAGTCGTCTGTTTCACCAGGTCAGGCAATCAAATAAGGAATCAAGCTCATTCACTAGCTTAGGATTAGGAAGTCAAGGAAATGAATATCTATCTAAGGAGGGACAGCCATAATTTATACGTACAGGAAAAGAGGAGCAAATCTCAGCCATAGCAATGCCTACAAACCAGGTGAAGAATGAGACGACCACCCATCCCCACACCAGAGTTGCAGGGCCTGCATACAAAAGGCTTGAACCGTACAAGGGAGTGATCCCAGTGAAGAGCGTCATGGTTGAAAATGATATGGCAAGAGTTTTGAACAAAGTCTGCAGTAAATGAAGACCAAGAGAGAAAAAAACAACATAAACCCAAAGCAGCAAAATACCAAGTAAGTATACGGTTGCAAAACCACCAAACGAAGGGACCATCAGAAAATTACCATTTGTCTTCTTAGCTCTTGATTGTACCCCAGCTCGTTGAGCCGCTTCTCACCAGAATCCATTTCTTCAATCTCCATGAGCCCTGGAGCTTGCTTTTGCTCAATGGGATTGGCAACGTTATTGGTGTATAAGGATATGCATCAACGGGGAACCATATCCAGTGGAAGAAGTGCAGGCTCTGAAGCATGTATTATGATCCGGGTTTCTATTTAACGATCCAAAAAGTGATGGGAGGTTGACTGAGTAAATATTTATAGATGTACTCCAAACTTGTAAAAGTCAATGGCTGCGGCAGATGGTTTGAATTTTCTTTTGTGGGGATTCCCACCTCTGCCTATACAGCAGCAAATAGGTGCGTGTTCTGGACATTTTCTCACGCATTCTGAAATAAAAATACAAATAAAAGAAACTTGTGAAAACATTACTAGACCTCTTCTGAATTTCAGGATGAGGGTTGACTTGGGCTTCATTCAAGACACTTGGGGAGTTGGTAACATGGGAAATGAAACAGATACCAGCAGCGTCTGCAACTGCAATGTGGCCCTCCTGTAGTTGAAATGAATAAGAGGATATTATTAGTTAAATCCGATTTTCTGTCACAGGATCTGTTTTGTATTTTATTAAACGCCTTTGGGAACGAAATTGTCAAGCCTAAGATGCAAATTGCAAAGTTAAGTGCAAGACTTAATGCTCACGCCTCATCCCATGTGAACCAGTAAACATAGCGTTTCGAGAAACAGTTTGGTATGGCAACTCTTATCAAGTTTTAGGTTAACATGGTGTCTATTTCTTGCTGCCATAGTTAGTAAAATACGGTACGGGAAAGTTACGTAAAAAATACGTACGGGTATTTTACGTCATCTCTAAGCTAAAGGTACGTTTAATAGTACGTTAATAGTAATAAATATATAAAAATAAATTATTTTTAAGATAAATAAATATATAAATAATAGTAAAGTTCACAATTTAATTCATTAAATACTGATATTAAACATGTTATACGGGTTTTATACGTGTTTAGTACGGGAGCAATCCAATGAACGGAAAAAATGAAACGACTTGACAATAATACGGATACAGAAGTTTTAAACGGATAAAGTACGTACGGGTACATATACGTGTATTAAACGGAGTATTTACTAACTATGTTCGAACATGAGACCTCCAAGTTCAAAACCAGTGAACCAAAGTCTTGTACATAATACGGGCGGTCTAATTATTATTATTATTATTATTATTAGAATAATTAAAACACAAGTCTTTTGTTTATTTAAGCATCTAGCACTTTTGGTAACAATTCGAATTAGTGTACAACAATAAGATATTAGTCAGTGTGCGGTGGATATTAGTCAGTATATGGTGGATATTATTTATTGTCTGGTGGATGTTAGTTAGTGTGTTGTGGATATTAGTCTGTTATATATACAATATCATTTACGTTACACTAGATATTGTTCTGAGATGTTTGGATATTGTTATGTAGGGTTTGTGTTAAGGTTTAGGGTTTAGGGTTTAGGGTTTAATGGTTTAGTTTTGAGGGTTTAGTTTTGGTTTGAATTTATATTAGTCCATGTTTTTGTATATTTGACTGGGACGTTTGGATATTCTAATGAGGCACTTTTGGTAACTACTCATTAAATAATAATACTTTTTATGGTTTAGGATTTGTCTGTGGTGATAAGATATTATTATGTGATGGAGGATATTAGTTTGCAACGTGTGGATGTTTGTATGTGTGGTCGGATATTAGTCTTTGTGTGGCGGATATTAGTTTGTTATAGTGAGAATATTAATTTTGGGATGACAAGATATTAGTCTAAGACGGTGGGATATTAGACTGGGTAGTATGGATATTTGTTATGGAAAACGGATATTAGTGTGACAACCAGATATTAGTCTAGGTGGTTTGAATATTTTTTTGAGTATGTATTTTCCACGAGCTAATATCAATTTCAAACCAACTAGTATTCATGTCTAGTAAATAATTTTCCAGAATAACAAACTCAAATCCTTAATAAAAAGAGACGTTGAATTTATACCATCAGAAATTGATTAAACCAATTTAGTGTTTAGAGCTTAGGGTTAGTGTTTCAGGTTTAGGGTTCGAGTTTTGGTTTAGTGTTTAGGGTTCAGGTTTATGGTTTAGGGTCAGAGTTTCAAGTTTGGAGTTTTGGTTTAGTGTTTAGGGTGGTTCGATATTTGTCTCCGGTGAATGGTGATAGGATATTATTATGGATATGAGGATATTATTTTGTGATGTGTGGATATTTGTCTGAGTAGTCGGATATTAGTTTGCGGGGGTAAGATATTAGTCAATGTGTGGTGGATATTTGTCTATGATGGTGAGGATAATTATGGTATGACTGGATAATAGCCTGAGACAAAGGGATACTAGTCTGGGTGGTGTAGATATTTGTGATGGTGAGCGGATATTAGTCTGCGACAGTCGGATATTAGTCTGGGTGGTTTGAATTTTTGTTCTGTGTGGATGTTTATCTACATTGGTTTTCAAGTATGAAGAAATAGTATATATATATATATATATATATATATATATAATTTTTCGATGCAAAATTTGAAAGTAATGTCTTTTTCAACCTATGGTAATTGCTAATTAAGAGACTATGGCTGGATATGTGGTCACATATTAGTCTGTGATAGTGAGAATATTAATTTCGGCATGACTAGATATTAGTATGAGATGGTGAGATATTAGTCTGGGTAGTATGGATATTTGTAATGGAGAATGGATATTAGTGCGACAGTCGGATATTAGTTTGAGTGGTTTGGATATTTGTTTTGTGGAGATGTGTTTTCGACGAGCAAATAATATTCCAGAATAAAAAACTCAAATTCTTAATAAAAAGAGTCGATTGATAGACAAATTGCGATAAAACTAGTATTTAATGTCATTACAACTTGGCAATCCAATAATTTCAAATCCGAAAAAGCACAACCATGTAAGAAATGAGAAAGCAATAGTTCAACTGTTGTCTTGCTGGTCTAAACGCTTGATAATTTTTTTGAGCACGTCGTCCCGAGCCCTCCACATTTGGATCATGCTCTCAACCATTGACTTCATTGCCGCAAACTACATATGTTGTAAAATATTTAGTTTACTATATGCATCCATGTCACTTAAGAAGCAAAGACAACATCTATGTACCTGATTTAGGTCAAGGTTGTCAAAATCTTTGTTTTCCCAGCATGATGCGTCTGGATTGAGCTAGTGATGTGTCTCCGCCTCCCCTTCTCTTGGAGGAGCTGGCATCAAACACCTTTTGGATCTTGTCATCTTGCACAATTCCTGAAAAAAGCTAATATCATTGAACTAATATCCATACATGGCATAAAAATATCCAGACCTAGCATACAAATATCTATGCATCACATAACCAATATCCGGACAATTAACCACCAAACAATATCCACATTAAACTAAATGGTATCCCATGCCAACTAAACAATTTTCCAGGTAAAAAAATATCAATTTAACGAGCAAAATCCAGAAACCCCAAACAATATCGACATCCAACAAACCAGTATCCAAGACCTGCTAAATAATATCCCAGGTCAACAAGAATCCCGGATCTCCCAAATCGAATCTCAGATCCCAGCCACAGAAAATCCCAGATCCCTCAAATAGAAAGAAATCCAAATCCCCAAAATCAAAAGAATCCCAGATCCCCCAAATCGAATCTCAAATCCCCCGACAAGAATCCAAGATCCCTAACAATGAATATTAGATCCAAAAAACGAAGCAAAAAAAAAAAAAAAAAAAAACTCACATCCAGTCGAATCTATGAAACACTAAATCAAATATATGTAATCCAACATTCGTATCCATGAATCAAGGAAGGAGAAGGGTAAAACACCTACCTCAAAGATCCGCCTTCACCGTAAATGAATCAGGAGAAATGAAGATGCTTACCTCAAAAACTTTCTTCTCTTCGCAGCTGGTGTAGTCGTCTTCCTCGCGCTACTGGCATCGATGTCTTCCTTCTTGCTCGGCCGACTTCGTCTTCCTTCAAGCACCGCTACCGGCGTTGCCAAGCACCGCCGTATTCTCCTTGCGTTGTCGTCTTCTTCCTGCCCTAGCCCTCGTCGCCAGCGTCGTGTTTCTCACACCCGTCGTTGTCGAGAGGTATTTTGAATTATTTGGGAGAGAGAGAGAGAGGAAGAAGAAGAAGAAGAAGAAGAGAAGAGAGCAGTCGACAATTTTGGAGAGGTCGAGAGAAAGGAAAATGAAATGATGGAGAGAGAAAAGAAAATTAAACATAAATGAAAAGGTTGGGTTTTTTTGAATTGTAAAAAAAAAAAGAGAAAAAAAAAGAAAAAAGAAAGATGCTTGGTTCAGTCGATCCACAAGCTGCTCTTCTCCCTCTCCACCGTCCGATCGCGACTTGCCTTCGTGGCCTCAAATCCGACCGTGTTAGTATATACTAACAGCTTATGCGGTTAGAAGAATAACCATATTTGCTTGAGTAGGGTGAACCTTTGTTGGGGATCCAGTACGTACTTTTCAAGCTTTAACTCCTCTTCAGCCAGAACGGCAGTTCTGAACCAGATTTGTCCATGACCCATTAAGAATCAGGGCCAGTCCAATAAGTGAGAGATTCAGTTTTCTCCCTACCGGAGAAGGACCTGAAGCTCCTCTCAGGCTCTCTCCTTCAATATCGAAACGTTGGTGCCATTGCGGTTTCCAGATTGATTACCGCTTTCGGTGGAGGGAGTAGCTGAAGGCCACAGTGAAAGCGACGATAAAGGTTTTTGCCTGGAAGAAGAAGAAGAGGGAAAGCTACAATTATACCCACGAGCTTCTAAATTCAGCCAGTAAGCCCGAAGGAACTAACGGCTCGATGCAAATTAATCCAGAAGCCGCCATATCCACAGGTTTTCAATAGGGTGGGTGAATTTCTGAGACCGCGAGCGTGGGTGACGTGGCCGAAATTAGAAACTACCGGTTGAGAAATTGAAATGTGCCACCAAAAACGAAGTGCCATGAGAGAGCGGCAGATGCTCGCTGGTCCCTGCCTGCTGCTGCGGTGCTTCCAATGCCTGCCGAGGAACCTCCGATTCCTCTGCTGAATCAATAATTCCATTGAGCCGTCTTCCATTATGCTTATGCGTTTCCCGTCCTCCTTTTCCCTCGTAAGTTCCTTTCCTCTGCGACTATCTCTTCTTCCACATCCATCGTTCGTTTGAGAACTCATAGGCTTGCCGCTCCTCGTCGCTCTGCTGCTTCTTTCAGCGGAATATGCAGAGTGCAATGAAGCTTCTGGCGGGGTCACGCTTGGATTACGATCCTCCTGGTGCTCGCTAATGTTTCTCTCTTCTTTACTAGTCGGTCGTCCTCCCATTTTGTTTATCTCTTTGCCTGACGCTCCAGTTCGCCTTTTTGCTTCTGTAGACTTGTTGCAATCAAGTTTCCATATTTCGAAACCCATTGTTGCGGCTGGTAGCAAGCTCATTTCCTTACCTGGATGCGCGAGGTTTATGCGGACTTCGTGCCGTGTCACTGTCCCTGGGACCTCGTCTGCAACTCTTGAAAACCAGAACCCACCTAACTTTTTGAGGAACAAGAAGACGGTTCCTGATTCTGATCCTCCCAGCGCTCGAGATGTCGATCTGTTGTATCAGTTCTTTGACCAAAGGTTTCATTCCAAAGCTGTCTACTAACTGTTACTTATGTGCAATTGTCGTGCTTCATTTCCATCACTTGGTTTGAGCTTGTCATACTTATCTCTCTTTCCCTGGGGTTTCCATCATGTTGCAGCAAGAAACTTATGGTGCTGACTGGGGCTGGAATGAGCACCGAGTGTGGAATTCCTGATTACCGAAGGTTCCTGTCTCTTGTCTGTAATTGCTTAAATCTGTTGGCTGAATCCTTACTTTCTACGTACACAATATCTGTTCAACCGTTGAACCCTTTATCAGTTTATCTGGTTCCTTTACTCTCCTGGAGAAATCTTTAGTTATACTTGTATCCCTTTGGATGTTACTCCAAGTCAGGCTACATTTTAGCCCTGTCTATCACATATAAGTAATTCCCATCATTTTCTCCCTGAGGCACTTCTTCTGTCTACTGTTGCATCCTTACTAGACAGAGCACATTCATGAATCAGGATATCCGATTCTCAGTTTATCCCTATGCGACTTCACCATGCCGCTGCCAAGAAATTTTGTGTCCACTGATTGTTCCATTTTTGAATCTTGTTAATTGCAATTTTCCAGTCCAAATGGAGCTTACAGTTCTGGATTCAGACCAATTACCCATCAGGTGATCTAAAGCACGTGACTTGATTTCTAAGCTAGACATTTTAATCGTTTTGGGTGTCAGTCATATGTACTAAATGAGAATTGTTTTGTCTGGTTTAATAGATACAGAGATTAACTTCTTCTCATTAGCTTTCTATGTTTCTTTTCCTAACCATGGACCTATGTGGTAATTCTTACTCCCAACTTCTGAGAGCCTTCCCTCTCGTGATTAGGAGTTTGTTCGTTCAAGTCGGGCTCGTAGGCGATATTGGGCCAGGAGCTATGCCGGTTGGAGACAGTTTACTGCAGCGCAGCCTAGTGCTGCTCATTTTGCTTTATCGTCATTGGAGAAGGCTGGCAGAATAAATTTCATGGTCACACAAAATGTTGATAGGTCAGTGGTTTCTCTTCTCTCCCTGTTGTTTGAGAAACTCTTATGAGGTAATGCCAGTTTTTTAGTGTTGTATGTTCAGACTGCATCATCGTGCTGGGAGCAGCCCATTGGAAATACATGGCACAGTGTATTCTGTGATCTGTCTAGATTGTGGCTTTTCATTTGGCCGAGAGCTATTTCAGGAACAGTTGAAGGATCTCAATCCAAAGGTTGGTTCCACGAAGCATATGTAATCTCTTCAACATTACATGCTGTATTTTAGTGCAAAACGAGAAGATAGAGATTTGACAAAATTTATGGCGGATTTTATTCAATTGTTTCTTGAATTGTAACAATATTGTCTTTGTTGTTGGAATGGAATAAAGCCAAGGTTCTCGTTTCTGCTAACACAACACAGTTTTATTTCTTCTGGACATTCAACCTAATGCAAAGGATGAAGCCGCTGGGGCATTCTGTAGATGTCCACCTGTAGGCTTTTCCATTATGGCAGTTTCAGAAAATGTAGATAAATATCTGCTATGCTATAACAACACTTAATTGTGTTTGGGGTTCTACTTGTGGGTGGTTGTAAATTTTTTCTGTTGGGTTCACAAATGTGCATTTTTTGTGTGCTCTTCACTGGTTGGTTCCTATGGGGTCATGCCATTGAGTTCCCTCCAGGGCTAACGTAATTGCGAGATTATTTGCTGCAGTGGGCCGAAGCAATTGAAAGTTTGGACAGTGGTGCTCCTGGATCAGATAAGAGCTTTGGCATGAAACAGAGACCTGATGGTGATATTGAGATTGATGAGAAATTTTGGGAGCAGGATTTCCATATCCCGACATGCCAGAATTGCAATGGAGTCCTAAAGCCTGATGTAGTATTTCATGTTTCATCAGTATGAGTTCAGATTCTTGTATTCATGTGTGTACATTCTTGCTATCAATAACATTATGCATCTATTCTCTAATTTCGTAGGTCGTTTTCTTTGGTGACAATGTACCAAAGGAAAGAGCAGAGAAAGCAATGACAGCTGCAAAGGAGTGTGATGCTTTCCTGGTTCTAGGATCATCGATAATGACAATGTCAGCTTTCCGACTTATCAAGTACGTAGATATACTTCAGATATTCGCTGTATTATGTTTACTTTTGGTTGTCATTTACATGTTCATCCTCTTGGTAGGTTTATCTATTGGAGTGGAGTGTCTTAACTTTCAACCTGGTATGGTAGTATGTACTGCACATTAGAGACGGCGAATTGTACATGTTTTGTGGAAGGGCAGAATCTGACAATAACTTGTCACGCACATAGCCAATTGGCTAATCTCTTTTCTTTTAGTGATTGGGGTATTGAATTCTTAAATTTAGAATGCGCATAACCAATGGAAAGCATGCCAATGAGACTAGTAAAAACTTATTGACTAGAGGCCAAGCTCCTCCAAGTTAGCTCTCGTTCCAATAGATCAAATAATCAACTTCCCGATGAAATACGGCCTGGAATGTGAAGTAGAATCTGTATCCCTTTGCCATTTTACCATTCTTCTGATACCTTAGATTGAGGAGTTCGTTGGTTTTGTCCAGATTCGTTGTTTATGCAATGCTCTTATCTCAATGTCTGAACACCATTCTGGTGCGAAAAAGCAGGAAGCGGACGTGATTGAGTGCATGGATGAACTTTCTAATTAAACAAACCCTCAACATCAAGCTGATAAATGTGTTTGAATGAAATGACAGAGCTGCACATGAGGAGGGTGCTGCTACAGCAGTCGTGAACTTGGGTGTGACACGAGCTGATGATTTTGTGCCCTTGAAGATAAAAGCTCGATTAGGGGAGGTAAGTAGTCAGCTTAACAAGTAATAGTTGATTCTACACTGTTGAAAGGATATGCAAAAAATTTCATTTCGGTGGTGGTTTGATCATCTCCACTGATTCTCACACGCAGATCCTACCCAGAGTGCTTGACATTGGATCACTCAGCATTCCTTCCCTCTAGCTACTAGTACAACTACTTTCAGTCACCACAAGGTGGTAAAGTTTCATATGCAAGTCCAGTCCATTTTCCTCTGCCTCTGCCTCAAAACAGAAACCCTGCAAATTGTACATCATCTGTTCGGCTTGGAGCTCATCCAAGTCACTACTGAAGCCATCTAGTAGCTCTTGTTGTTGACTTTTTTTCTGATTTTTTTTCCCGATAAATATTGTTGTTGACTTCTTGCTGGTGATTGTAACATCCCGAACCTTTTCCCGACGAAAATATTGTCCGCTTTGGGCCTCGACCCGCACGCTTTTCGAGTTGGGGTGCAATTCAAGGTGACTTCCCATAAGGTCACTCATCCTTGTAGTACTCCACACTGAGCACGTTTAACTTCACAGTTCTCACAAGAACTCATCCATTTCACCCAAAACGCGTCTTGTCAATTAAGGTCGGTTTCTTACTTATGAACCGTGAATCTCTCCTGTGCTTTGTCGATGTGGGATTTGCCTAAGGTGTTACAGTGATGGTGCCATTGTTGTATAAGGAATTTTTTTTTGAACAATGTATTCCTTTAAATTATCGTCATTTGATGGTGCCAACATGTTCAATTATAGAGTCAAATAACTCATTAATTGTTTATGTGATATTTCAGTGTTATTTTAGTGGCAATTGGATTAAAGTATCTCGTTTGGTTGAAACATGCACACGTGGTATTTGACATGTAATATTTGAAAAAAGTAGAGAGACACAACGAGTTATTTCAAAATAACTAGGTGTGGGAGTTATTTCAAATAACTCGTTTTTTGTTATTTGTATATAACTCACAACCCAAACAACTCAATTAAGTAAAATGCTGCCAAACAAGTTATTTGCATCAAATAACTCACTAAAATGCCTCATCCAAAGGAATAAATTGGAGCTATCACCATCGTCAACTTGAAAATGGCGATTGTTATGTTGAAGGTCGGATATTGGGAATTGGATATTGACTTAATCTATCTATCTATATCTATCTATCTATCTATCTATCTATCTATCTATACTATATATTATGGCAATTCAAAAACAATCTCTTGCCACATAAGCACTTGGAGGATCCACAATTTGCCAAGTTGGACAATTTTTTTACAAACAAAAAAATTAATTATTAATGTATATCTGGAGATACCTCTCTCTTCTTTAATATTTTCATTTTTTTTATCCATTTATTCTTTTTTCCTTTAATAATAAGTTACATGTTCATAAACTTAACCAAACACACATTAATAATAAATTTTTTCCAGTAAAAAAATATGAAAAAGAAAACAGAAAGTAACATATACCACATTTGTTTAAATAAAAAATATCTGATTAAACCTTATGAAGTAAAATTTTTACTCAATTTTACTAAAATTGAATGATAAGTTACATTTTGATGAAAAAATTAAACAAACATACACATAAACAATAATGTTTTTTTTCGATTAAACAAAATTTATATGAAAAGAGAGAAAATAAACATTTGACATTCAATTACCTGTGAAAAATAAACTATATTACTTTATATTTTGTTGCAATGAAACGATCTCTTATTCGTAAATTATATGTCTATAAAATAAAACAATTATTATTTAGCAAAATGTCAGAGTATAATCTTGATCGAGTAGTTATAGTTATTTATTTAAAAAATACTTATTATTCCTCATATCATGTTCTACCTTAAACTCCTCAATTGAAGAGAAATCACATGTGCAATAATTTTTTAATGTGTCCTAAGTTCACATTAATAATATTTGTTCTATATCATGTTGATTGAGCAAGCTCTATTGAGGTCCTAAGTCGTATGTTAAGAAATTTTCTTTCGGACTTGGAATTATCGTCAATGATTATAAATCAAAATTTTCAAAATGATTTAAGTATAATTGTTGACGAACTTTGATTTCATACCCTAGGATGAGACACAAGATTTCTTGAAAAATAACATAAAGGAAGGTTAGAGAATCTTTGTTGAGAATATACGATAAACATCGCGTTTTATCAACTACTAACCTAGACATTTACCAATTAAAGGTTGACAATTTTTAGTAAGATAGTCAATTGGGATAAACATATTTATCCAGCAATCAAGTATCTTTATCCAATAATCTCAACTCTCAAAATTGGTTGCCAGTTCGTTCAAACTCGAGAAACACGAATTGATATATGTTGTATAGATAATAAGTTAATGCAAATAATCAAATGAACTCCACCGATATTGTTCAAATGATAAGGCATTTTAAATGCACTTGAAATATGTGTGTATTGTAGACACTATTTATCAAATATTAATATATAAGTGATAAAATCTTTGAAAATTACACATTCAACGACCATGTGAAGACCAAAATCCTCGATAGTGTGTGCGAGTGTCTTAGATTGAGATTCTAAGCCAACATATAAACAACGACCACGGGTTGAAGTTTCATCTAAACTTCAAAAATTAACAATTGATACATATTGTATAATATACTAAATTTAAGTGTCTTGATAAAAAAAACTAACATCCAAAATGGAAATGGGTCGAGATTATAGAATTTAATCATCACGAGGGCTATGATGTGCGTTAAGTTTCAATATGGATGAATAAATTGATCCAATAATGAAGTATCTTTACTAAGAATTTCTTAGTAAAAAGTCCTAATCTTTACAACATTGGTCGAGAGTTCGTCCAAAGTCGAGGATCATGAATGTGTATTGGATTTTCAAAGGACCTAAAATCTCAATCTCTTTCGGGGGCTAAATACTTTTGATCACAACCATAGGTGCCAAAGAAGAATGAAAAGAAGCCCAAAAAAAACAAAAAAGAACATAACCTCCGAGTCCATGTACTGAAAAGCTGCCACCCAGTATAATGTACCAACGCCTGAATTTGACGGAAGCGATACGATGAACAGAATAAACTCATATCGAGCTATGATCCTGTCATCCCTACCCTTTTATTCTCCATAAAGGGGGCGGCGGGAGAGGATAAGAAATAAATAGCAGGATCTTAGAATTTGCCTATTTATATATTACATATCAAACGATAGAAAACCCTAATGGTTGTCTGACGTTATGGGGGTAAAAGCGGGATTCCAATCCCGAGGGTGGGGGATAGGCAAGTAGCACTTTTAATATGAGTATTAGGCGAGATAAGATAGGTCTGACGAAGTATCTGGATAAATTTGAGTCTACTATATACACACACATATATACATATATATAATATCAAGGTATACTATCTTTTGATTTTACTCAAGATACTTTAGAAGATAGGTATGACAAAGTATTTGCATAAATTAGAGGTTAGAGAATTATGGATTGGAGTTCACCTATAAAAGGTTAGGGTATAGTATCATGTCCCAAAAAACTCCGGAGTCTAAATAGTAAAACTCAATGGTCGTATGGTAGTGTGAACGCAAGAGTATAGCGTACTCCTGCCTCACGTTAGCTTGAACTATATATATACACACACATATTTGTGTGGTTTAGGTTGGCGTACGCTAAATATTAGTGTTTTGGTTGACAAATTTTGACATAAGTTCTAAATGGGATGGGACGTGACAACAACATAATTTATGATTAGAAAACCAAAGCATCAAAAGTGAGTGTGCTAAATATTGGAATCTATAGAATATATAAAGGCTTTTCCAAAAACTACCTTCACCATTTCAAAATTCCAACCCTCCTACGCATCCACGTCAGCACCCTTCCGACCAATCAGATTTTTTCTTAACTTCTTTTTTTTCTTTTAAGTTTTTCTATACCCCAATTAAAATGTGCTACTTAACACACACACACTCTCTCTCTCTCTCTTCTTTTTCAATCTCCCCTACTATTCTTAATTGATCCATATTCATTTCGCTTCAACTCCGAATTTAAATATTATTGCGCGAAAAAATAAGATTTTAAGTGATCTACACAAGGATACCCATTTTGATATATGTTTTTTTTTAAACATAGCCACAATCATATATTTACAAGGCATGTTCCTATTCGATAGTTGCAAAACTATATCAATATCATTCGATTGTACCGCCATAAAGTATATACTAACATAGATCGCAGAACAAATTTCTTATTCTACTGAGTTACTAAATTATATCAATGTTTAATTTTGTAATATCATAATAATAATGCACAACAATTTCATGGGTGCTAAAATGTTGTCATCCGGTACAAACTAATTTACCTTAAAAAAATCATTTAGCGGCCAAGTGGTCGGATTCAAATGTATACACGATTCGGAATGAGAGAGGACAATGACAGACTGAACAAAATAGACACCTTAGGAGGAAAAAAATACCAAAGTACATATTTCAAACAAAATTTACCCGGCCAACGGACCGGGTACCAAACTAGTATAATAGAATATGGATTAGGATTGGTTTTGTAGCGTTACAAAATCCAATATAATGGCTAAGGTAAGGGGTGCGGATCTGATGGTCATGGAAGAGCAAGGGTATTTTACTATTTTGGAACACGGAAAAATAGACCAAGTTTTTTGTTTTTGATTTTTTGGTCGTTTTGTGTGTTCCCTCTTCTCTTTCTTTATTTGTTGGTGGATTTTTATGCCGCTTTAAAAAAACTTCAAATCTCAAACGAAAATTAAACAAATCATGTGCATTCAATTTACGTTGAATTTCAAAAAAATTGCACAAAAAAAAAAGATTTTTTTTACCTCTACAAGATGATATTCATTTTGATATTTTTTTTTAGATAATGGTGATATAAGTTCTTTTAGTGATTAGGTACTACTTAAGGGATTTGAACTTTGGACTTTCAGGTTCAAGACTATTGGTATTACCAATTGGTCAATCCCTTGTCCATCCATTCATATATTTTTTTTTGGAGCAAAAGTATTTTAGATATATGATAGTGGTATGATAGTGATATGATAGTGATATATTATTGATATGATAGTGATATAATGTTAATATGGTTCTTATTTTTGACAAAACAATTTGATGATATCATATCAGTGTCAACTCATGATATCATATCGGTGCTTTCCTCTGAACACCGGTGTCTCTTATCAGATGGTGAAGACCATAAGAAGTTAGGATGATTCCTCCATCTCGGGTTGTGAGTATCACTATAGGGATTGTTGCCTCTTTTTTGTTATCCAACAAAGCTAGCTTGCTCATGTTGAATCGATGCTTCTACCATTGCCTTGCACTCTTCCAAATTATGACTCATATTGCCGCACCAATCACATTTCATCACTTTCTGCTATTGTTCTTCATGGTTGTGCAACAAAATAAATCTTCATTTTCAATTCTTGAAGATGAGTTGATAATGAGGAATGTTCTTCAATTTGTAGCACATTGTCTTTTCTTACACTCTTTCCTCACATACCACCACCCCAATCATATCTATTGAGAGCCATGTCTTCAATTAGTCTTTTCAATTCACCTACTCTTTTTTTGGAATAGCTTCTCCATTGGCGGCATCAATTAAATTCCGGGACTCATGAGTTAGACCATTATAGAAGCTTTCCACTTGAAGCCAATCGACAATGTTGTGGTGTGGGTACTTGAGTAGAAGAGAGGTGAAACTTTCCGACACCTCAAATAATGGCACCTCTTCTTCTTGTCTAAATGTTTGTATTTCACTTCTCATCAATGACATCTTTGAGGGTGGGATATATCTTGCGAAAAACTTGTCACACAAATATGCCCAAGATAGATAATAGAATGATGTGGATGATCACTCAACCACTGGTTCGCTGCTCCGCTGCTCCGTTCAAGGTAAAGGGGAAAAGTTCCAATCGAATCTCCTATTGAGGGACTCCGTTGTCTTTGGTACCATCCATAATCTTGTAGAACGCCTTAATGTGAGCTTGTGCATTTTCATTCACCAATCCATGGAATTGAACCGCATTCGCAAACATAGTAATTGTCTCCGGCTTGATCTCATAATTGTTGTTGGGGATAGTAGGGTGACGAATTGGTGATTGCACATTCTCCACACTCGGCCTTGAAAATGACCCAATCGTCCTCGTCCTCGGTGGTTGTTGAGGTTGAGGTGATTGTTGCTCCGCCATCGGTTGAGTTTGAAGTCTCGCTATTCTTATAAGACCTTAAAGGGTTCTCTCGATCTCCGTATCAAGAGGTACTGTATCAATAGAATCTCTCCTTCGCATACAAATTAACTTCAAAACAAAGAACTCAAATACCCGTGACGTACAAAGTAGGATAACAAAATCAAAATAAGATAAACTAATATATATAAGCATAATTGTAAGACTAAACTAAAAACTCAATGATTTCCAACTAGTTATCGAGAGTCCCCGACAATGACGCAAAAAACTTGGCCAAACCCACGTGCAGGTCATGTCAATTTTTTGCATGGCCTAATTAACTACCACATTACGAGCCAAGTATAACTCAAAATGGCATTGCTAATATAGTGGTGACCAAGGTTGTATTCCACGGGTTTTGATACCCTAGGCTACTTCTCACATTGTTGTTATCTGGTCGATCTGTTTAGTTGGGTTTGTCGAGGTCAATTGAAATACTGGTGGAAAAAGCAAGGATAAAAAGCAGGTAGTTTGGGGTAACTCCCTCTCCCTAAATCTAGGATCTTCATGCAAATGGCTAACTGTGTTAGGTTTGTAGGATAATCTGCGAAACTAGCTAAAGTAAGGGTTTCAATGATTACTCCGCCTCCTCCTAGTATGCTCCTAGAGACCCATTGTCATCTCAATCAGGCATTCCTCTAGCATGGGTTCGGTCGCCTCATCCACTAAAATAAATCCTAAATCATTCATCTAGCCCTAATTAGCTAGCTGCTCCCACTCTTAACCCTAAAATTCCCACCTAGTTCTATAGGCTAGTAGAGGGTGTTTTCCAACGAAAAATATTTTCTCGACGCCAATCGTCTGGTCATACCTGATTGTCTTTTTGTAGTGAAATACTGAACCTTTGGTATATAAAAAATTAGCTGCACAAAAGGCCATTTTTGTTGTAGTGATTGCTGGGCCTTCCGAGTAAGCGTTTAGTTTTTCCGGATCCTTTCTTCAAGTGTTCAATTTGGGTTTTCATGGTTGAGTTGATAATTAATCATGTGATATATCTACATGGAAATACGTGGCGTAGTGCTTGGATTTGTGATAGTAATTGGAGGGAGGGTTTTCGTGAATTACATGTTTAGAGGTGGAGGTTTAGGTCAGAATTTGATCAGACATCTATTGAGGATTTAGTTTCCTCACTTGTTTTAATGGAATAATGGTGTTTTGGGTGGGTTAGGTGTGGAGTGGACGTGATGCATGCACGTGTTCATGGTTCTAATTAAAGTGGAGGATTAGTTGTGAGAAGAAGAATTAGAAAAGGGTTAGTTATATCAATGGATAATTAAGGTTTAATCTCCTGCTACAGGTGGAACGAGGAATTAGCTTTGGCATTGGTTAAGAAAGGAAGATTAGTCACACAGATGAATCCTTGTCCATTACAACTATTATAGAGAATAATCAATGGATCAGTGTCGTTGGTGGAACTATGCATTGGCGATGCATTGAGCATAAGGTGATCAAATGGAGGACTCCAACGGGAAGGAACGGGCTTGGCATGACCACTAAAGGAAATAATGAGTAAGGTTAACAGACGTGAGCATTGAGCAAGGTTAGGGGATTAGGTAATAATTCGGGTAGTTGTTTAATTGATTTATCTTTAAGCATTTGCATTATGTTATTGAAATTAAGTTCTTATGATCAGTTGTTATGTTTACCTTAAGACTGTGCATACGAGCTCTATGTTAAGTACATGCTATGTTACGTTCTTCAATTTCTACAAGCATATCATTGCTTCAACAAGTCACATTTTAAGTATGTTGGCTAATATCTTCACATTGTGTGCAAGTTTAGTCCAAAAAATATATTTATTTTTATAAGTACGATCATGTTTGACCTCTTGTTTAATTAGCAACTCACAATCACCTCACTCCCCATAATGAGGGAGTTTTTACATAGGAACCCTACTCCTAGGCAATAAGGAGAGGTTACGAACCCTACCCCTTGGTAATAAGAAGGTCATGTTATGAGGTACCCACAACCTTTTAGAGCATGCGATATCATGTTTACCGGGTGGGGAAAATCTTATTACAAGTTATGTCACATTTTGGTGACCGATGTAATGTACCACTTAAGTTGAACTCGGACCACTTTCCAAGAAAATCATTTTCAACTCAAGTAAACATCTCAATGCATGAGCATTGCATCCACATATGCATTAGGATTATATTGGATTTATTTCCTTGCCATGTAACTGGAACCTAGGATTATGACTAACCTCACGCCCGCACTCAGGATTTCTAGAAGCACACTCAAGAATCAACATATCGTCACAGAAATTGATGGCGACATAAAATTAATTAAGAGTAGTACATTGTGAGACTTCATGCAGTTTTATGAAAGACATTTACGAAGTCAAATGTTTCGAGTTGTGTTGATCTTTCTAATTTTCGAGTTGAGTTCTCTTCAATATGATGTTTTTGCTTTTTAATGTATTTAATTTTTCTTTTTACTGAAAATATTTTAGTAAAAGTGAAACCCTACCTGTTACAAATATACCATGATGGTAAAAAGAAACAAATGGAAACAAATAAAAGAACGAGATAAAACTGAAAGGAAAAGAAATCGACATAGTTAAAATATATTAACTCAATTATAATGGAAAATAATATATATACTTGTTTCTTGTGTTAAGAAAAGGAATTTCGTCTTTCTATCTTAACATTTCCCAAAGAAGACATAAGTAGATTATTATGTCAATTTGGGCACACACAATACCAACACTAACAATTAAATCTTTCTATCTTATACAAAGTCATTTTCAATCGCTTTCAATCAAGCAAGCTAAGAAACATTATCTATTGTATAGGGCCATTCTTTAGCCATCCTCTGTGCTCTTTTCTTGTTACAACACTCATTATTAGCTAACCCAAATGGTGGGTGGATGGAAGTTTATTTAACAAATAGGCAAACTGTACAATGCCCCTTGCAGATTCTATGGCGAAACGAAGAGCACCTCTAGTAATAAGACACTCTGCATCGACCAATGATGTCAACAATGTTAGGTTCACAACAATTAGTTATGGACGAATGAATAATGTAACATGCAAGTTTGTACCTTGAAGAAAACTATTGTCTCGATTCCGGAATTGGAGACCTTTGCAGAGTTGTAAGTATTCTTATCATATTGGTACTCCTGCATATACAAATAACAATGCACAAACTCATACAAATGGTGTCCATACAATTCCAATACCGCACATTAATGTTTGTATTTGTAAGGTAGATGGATGATCTTACACTGTAATTAATATCTAGCACAATAACACATTCAGCTAATTTGGAGTCCTCCAAGAAAATCTGACAGTCTAAAAAATGTATTGCAGACAATCCATTAGAAGAAGATGTATGATAGCTCAGAGCAAGCAACAAATAAGGTAAGAGAGTAATGACCTAACCTGATGTTTTTAGATATGACTGTGTGGCCATCTTCAGAACCAAGATGGCGGAGAACCACTTCCTCTAGACGCCCATCTTTGTATGCATGCTACAAATTAGATGCTCTAGGATGAATATTTAATGTCAAAATAAACAACATAATAACTCCACAAAGTAATATTATCAAAAGCATTTGCCATAATTGGTTGATATATACAAAAAATACTAAAATTACAAATAAGAGAATATTTGATTTACCTTGTAAAAGCAACTGGAACCAAACGGGCAGTTTCCAATACCAAAGTTGAAGTGTTTGCAATCTATTGAACTACAAGATGGAAATGTAAATATTAGCTCTTCTTAATCATAAAATAGAGTCATATATTATGATAAACAATAAAAATTGGTTCAATGCAGAAAAAGTACTCCAAAAGAAGAAGAAGAAACAAAACTTGCCTAAGCTTTGCCTTATAGTTGTCAATGATTTCCGTCTTCTCTTCTTGGCAGGAATACCAAATCACACTAGGAACCACGAAATATGATAGCTTGCGGCATACTGGGCACGTCCTGGACATAGGTTCCGTTCCAGGGGTAGGCGAGCTGCTTCTCCAATTCCTGATACACCCTATGCAGAATGGATGGTCGCACTCAGAGAGCAAACCAAACTTACGTTCTGCCGCCGTCGACTTGAACAACACTTTGTCCAAGCACACACAACATTCTATCTCTTGACTGTGCTTCAACGCATCAAGGTGTTTCTGCATTTTCTCACACATTTTCATGTGCTCCTCTCTTTCCTCGGGCCTCAAAGGATGCAAACAATGCCTCCCACAGTTAGGGCACAAGTCACCATGAATGTGAGGACATTGCTCTCCTCTCGGACAGTTCCCAGTGGCCGCATAACAGCATAGCGGACGATCGGATGGTAGTTTCAGATTTTTCAGCTCTATAGTACCATCAAAGACGTTGCATTTCCCAGGTTCCAAATTTCGTGTTGGATGATTGGATGGAAGAAAAGGTCTACTTCCCGGGGAGAGCTCTGAAGGCAAAACACGAGCTTTCATAACAGGATAGGCTCCGAACCTTGTATTCCCAAAAGGAATACTAGTAGAAGATGAAGCAGCAAACTGTAGCCTTGAAGGTTTAAGATGATCATATCGACACCGAGTTCCATAAGAGCATTTCCCTTTCTGATAATAGGTGCAAATCTGCGCAGGAAGTAAATGCATTAAAAAAATGACAATTATCTAAGATAACCATAAAAAATAGTATATTATTCATACTGACATTGCTTGATGGATAATTCCAGTCATGAGAATATTCACAATGCTCCCCTTTCAAACATGCCCCATGTGCAAAAAACTTGCATAACACCCTGGAATCAATACAATGTATCAAGAAAATTAGCAGAAATGAGAGAAAATATACTAAGAAATGCAATTCATGAATAAATGAAGTTTACAACAAAATGCCATCTCCAATAGGGAAAAATAATAAAATGAATGAAACAATAATAATCGTGAAAGATGATAGGTAAAAGAGCTGCCACCAGACGAAGGAAAAAAAAAAGAGAAGAAAAAGGAGTTTGGGTAATCACCGTTTAGACATGGAAACGAGGAATTCTGAGAGACTCCGATTAGCGGAAAGGTCGAACAAGAAAGGAAGAGAAGGAAAAAGGGAGGCAGAGCTTGGGAGAGAAAGAGAGCGGATTAGAGGGAGAGATTATGTGAAGCTATCTATATAATCCCAACCTCTGCCATTGCCAATATCTCTTTCTGTGTTCTCAATGCCTCAGCCTCTGATTAATTTCAAATTCTGGGGAAATGCCCTCTCTGCCTTTCCTTGCTTTCTCCGCTCCACTGATTTGATTTGCGCCTAGGGTTCCCTGCCTTTCTCTTTTCTTTTTCTTTCAGTTGAATTTTTTCCCTCATTCCTTTTTGGCGGTTGGTTTTAGGTGTTCGACCATGTATGATTGTGGGGTGAATCGTTAAGTTTGCTTTTTTAGTCTTTCATTTAATTCACTTCCATCTCAAAAATTAAATGCAATATTCTACCCAAAGAAACTAAAGGCAAGAAGTTGAATTTGACTTTGAACTTTTATTATTTGGTCATCTCGGTACATGAATGTTACTGTAGACACCACATTTTGTCCGGAGCAACTATCCTACTCAAAATTCGGAAGAATATTCCATTTAAAATTAAAAAAGAAAACCCAAGTGAAAGTTTAGATAAGGTTGGTTGAGATTAGCGGTGGCGAATCAATAAATACCAACGATTTCCAAGTCTTTCTTTCTATTCATTTCGAATATTTGTACTAGGTAGGATTAGCAGTAGCTAATGGCTACCAAATTCGCTTTATTTAGAATAGCAATAGTATGCCGTCACGACTTATACCGGTATTATTGTTAACGATTGGTGATATAGGTCTGAAATTGGTTGAATGGGGTATTGGTCACGATTCATAACTAAGAATTATTTACTTAGAAGTTGGGATATTGGTCACGATTGTAGTTAACGAATTGGTTTGAAATAATCAATTGAATGATTGAGTAATACATACAATGATCATCTAATTCTAAAGGCAAGGACATAAATAAACAAATGTGTAATTATAAATTACAATCTGTGACATTTAAGATACACCTTGTAATTATACAAAAAAAAAAAAAAATAAAATAAAAATAAAAAAATTCTGCTTTTGGTGGCACCAATCAGAATTAGAGGCTTAGCCTTTTGAGGCTATTTGGGCCTCCTTAGGTCATCATTTTGGGCCAGACCAGAGACCTGCAAAGAAAAAAAGAAGTGTTAGAAGGGCATCCCAAAACAAAAACCCACAATCCAGGTCCATATCTCAGCCCAATTAACTCTGGTCAACCCGGGTCAACTCGGGTCGACCGGGTTAGCTCTGGCCGACCCGGTCAACCAAACCCATCATCCTTATCTTATCTACAAGAACAGCAGAACCGCCGAACAGCAGAGTAGTAGAGTAGTAGGGTAGCAGAAATTACTGCCATCTCAAAAAGAGGAATTCGGCCACCTCCTCCAAAGAACCAACACCAAATTGCCAACACAAAAGTTGGTTCAGACAACCACCTCAAGAGCAAAGGAGGAGCAGCCAGCACACAATAATGAACAGTAAAAAGTGATCATATATAAGGGGGTTTTCTTACCCCAAACAGAGGCAGGGGAGAATTTTGGGAGAAAGAGCAGAGAAAAAAGAACGAAAGCACTAAAAAGACAGACAGGGCATTAAACACAAAAGGGGCAGACAAGAAACACTAAAGGGCAGACAAGAAGCACTAAGAAGACAACAAGAGGCCATCGCCATCAAACACCAAACGACAAAGAAGACAGGTTGGTGTTTCCTCATCTCAGCAATCGCACAAGCATATATTCATCCATACATCCATGTAGAGATGGAAACTCAACCATGATTATATAATGATGTCCTTATTTTATAATCGATAGATGTATGAAATAGTCCTTCATAAAATTCGACAGTTTTGATGTGTATTGTCTTTGTGCTCAGTTTTAAATCAAAGTAGCTTTGAGAAATTTTGACTGTGATAATTGTCTGTCTCTTTGCTCCGTTCATCTATTTCATTACATGCTATGTTAGGCAGCTTCTTAGCTATCACCAGCGTGCCATGAATCCTATTGGATCGTTTCAAGTTTTTCTAGCGAGCATAATTCATTTTAAGTTGCTAGCTAAACTTAGTTCTCTAATCAGCTAGGTTAGTCCACCAGCTCTTTCACACACAAATAACATTAGCAACCCAAAGCGTAGTAAAGATGATCTAACAATCCATTCAAAACACAAAAGAATTCAAAACAGACCCTTGGGAGAGTATTTTAAAATACCTCTTTTTGTGTTTAAGGGCACCCCTCTTTCGACCCAATTACCAACTTTTTGGTAATTACAAACTTCTCTTTTTTAGTTGTTATATTTTCGCACGCCTAACACCATAAAAGCCCTGATGCTATTGAAAATTTCAGATTTTACCAATTCATACCAGTTTTTTTTTAATCAATCATATAACCAAATCCCAATTTAGAAGAAAGCTTCCCACCAATGTGGTGGTCATAAGCAGTGGCTTTGACCTCATATTATGCTAGGATAATTATAGACACTAGAATCTAATAAAGCAAGCTTTCGTTTTCAACAAATCCAAAACCAAATATTAAAGCCGAATGAGCCCAACAGGGGTACGAACCAAAACCCTGTTTTCTTAACACCACAGGAATTAATAGATAAAATCCTAGCCACAATAACCAATCCATTAGTCATAAGTTAGGAAGAGTATCACCTATTGGTCTCTTTAAATCGTAGGGATCTGTAAAAAAAAGAAGAACCCTAGATCAGAAATCCAAAAATAATGTTAATAAAATTACCCAAAATAGCGAAAATAGAAAATAATAATAACCTACCCAAAACCAGACCCTCGCCGTCGGCTCTGGCGCTGGCCGCGCCGCCGGCGACCCCATTTCCGTCTCTCCTCTCGGCGAGAACCAAAAAAACAACACAAAAATTACTATCACAACCAAAAACCACCTGTGTGACGTCGTCACACCACCGCCGGTCTTCGCCCTCCTTCACCCCTCGTCCAACACCAAGAACCCAAACAAAAATCAAGATTAAAATCACGTCTTATGTAAAAAAATTAGATCTAAGCCTGCATGTTTAAGAGAAACTCACCGAGAGAGTAGGAGGAGGTAGATCGAAAAAAATCCCCTCGGTTTGGGGCGTTTTCTCCAGAAATGAAAAAACAGAAAATTAGTAAATTTGGAACAAAAATATAAAAAAAACAGAAAATAAAAAAGGGTCATGCATGTCTCGGCTTCACCTAGATCGAGAGTCTTCTGGTAATTTTCGAGTGACCGACGGCGGTATCCCCGCCTGTTGCTGCTGTAGTTGGCGGCGAGACCCGATGCTCGTCTCCTCTTCCGCTCGCGCAAATAAAAAACAAAAAAACATCAGAAACCTTTCGATTTTCACAAAAAAAAAAACGAAAAAATACAACATGCAAGGATAGTATCTTACTCAAATCGATTTTCTTTTTAATCCGGTGAGCGGGGTCGTTTCTCGCGTTCATCAAGTCGAGAGGGAGAGAGCCGAGAGAGGAGAGCGGCGGCGGTTTTGAGCGAGGCTAGGGTTGGTTTCTCTGACCGAGATGAGGGACGAGAGAAGACGCGGTGGTTTCGATTTGGGGGCTAGGGTTTCGGGCGGCTAGGTTTCTCTGGAGAAGATGAGGACGAGAGGGAGAAAGGCTAGGTTGTTTTTTTCTCTGGGAGCGAAGAAGAGAGGAGAAGAATCGAGAAGGAAAAATGAGAGGGAGATGAGAGAGAGGGCGGCCGCCGCTTAGGGTTAGAGCAGATTAGGGTTTTGCTAAGAGAAGGTTATATACCCTATTATTTGAAATGGCAAAAATGCCCTTAGGGTTTCCTCAATATTACCCCTCCCTACCACCGTGTTTTCGTTCATTTACCAAGATACCCTTCTTCATTTCAGTTCCAAAACGAAAAAACACCAAAATTAAGGCTCTTACCGAGTTTCGAACTCGTGTTGTGTGGCACGCACGTGAATTAATAGCGGCAGTCATACCAGTTGGGCTGCCGGCCCATCGTGTGTTAAATTAACCATCACGCTTAACTTTATTTGTTTATAGTTCTTAATACGAAATGGCAAATGCGGATTAAGTTTATCTCGTTACTTTTCCAATACGAGTCAAGCCTCTCCCTAATAACTTAAATTATTATATTCTCTTTTCATAATTTCATAGTAATCAAATTAAATTTTATTAACATAAATTATAATACGAAAATCACGATCAGTGGAACGTGATGAAAATGTCACAATTAAACTATCAAAGTTCAAACGAACTACGTGGACTTTGATCCCGTCTAACGGGTACGTAGGCAACCGGTAAGGTTCGAGTCCAACTAACCAATTAATTATATCTTTTACGTCAGTGGATGTATAATTTAATTACAACTAACACGATTTAGTTTCTTTAATGGTCCAGTGGGACCCTAAAATTACTAAATTATTACTAAATATACACCCAACTAATATGAAACTTATCGACTTAAGTAGTACCGATTTAGGGCGTTGTGGGGTGTGATTTCACTTCCCCACACGTAACCGTACTCCCGAACCCAGAACTTTATTTTCGCAGACCATATCTCGGTTCTGACCCTAAGGTTAAAGCCGATTCGAAGAGTGTTCGATCCACTCCAAGTAAGATCGATGGCGACTCCCAAAACAGCCGACGCGACGACGTACGGACCCCCCGGACGGGACGGTTGCGACAGTTGGCGACTCCGCTGGGGACTTCGAGAGTCGAGCTACATAATTAAGTTCGATAAGTTTTATATTTTCCTATTAAATGTTGGGTGTTTACTTTCTTATTTGCGCAATTATATTTTCGCAATTTAATTCTGCATTCATGCATAAAAGCTCTATGCCCGAGCTATCCCTTTAGAAAATTGAAAGGAGTACCGTGACCTCCACAGTAGTGGTAGTCACGCAAAACTTTCTAACCAAGTTGAACTCGGATCCGAGGATGATCTCGAGGTATCCAGTCAGTCTGAAAAGGCTACGGCAGGATACAACTTGGGAGCCAATTCCCTAGCAATCCCTCTGCCAGCATATAGCAAGCTTAGAAGCCACCTTTAACCGTCCAAAACATTTCCTAAGCCACCCTTAACCATGTCGTTACGCTGCCCAAACACACCTAGGTGATACCTAAAATAGGCAGTCATTACTTTTTGTATTTGTACATGTATATGTCGCGTATATATTTCCTACTGCGGTGATAAATGTTTCGGATATTCCGTATTTTAAATGTGTATGGCTATACTATACTTTGTGTATATTCTCACAAAAAGTAAATATTTTGGTTATTCTCTATTATTTGTCTTCATTTGCTTGCATAATAAAAAAACTTATGTTTTGAAAATGACTAAAAATGATGTAATAATAATATTAATAATAACAATAATAAGTTGAATCGAACATATTTTCATGCATCACTATCATATGCATTTCCATATCGCGCAAAATTAAAACTTGAGCCATTTACATATGATGATTAGATGGAAGGCACCTTTATAGCCCAGGAAGTGGTCGCTCGTTCCGCCACCAACAGACTTGCTCCTGTCTGGATTGATCAGAACTTAGTCCGCAACCTGAGGGATGTGCCATCTGAAATAGTTCAGAACATCGTTTCGAGGGGCCTGAGGAGAAATGATGATGTATTTATCGAAAGGGCAAGAAATCTACTACTACACAAGTATGGCAGCCACAATCTCCCCATCAAACACCTCGACTGGACACCAGACCTCATGTGCCTGAACGTATTCTATATACCTCTCGAAGAGTACCCAGACATGTCAAAAATTGTGTACTGCCTCCTGAGACGCATGATTCGTGTATGTACTATAGGAATCATAATGCACAAACCAGTTTTGAAGAACTGTATTCACGAATGGGAAACATTCCCCGATAAAGTAACTCTCCTGGGAAAATGGCTTCGACAGTTCTTATCACTACGCCGATGGGCGATCTTCCTTGATGAAAATCATGATGACTATCTTTTCCTCACCTTTCATGTGGAAAGGGAAATAATGATCGTGGATAACGGATACGTGGTGGTGGAAAAACCGTCTGCAAAGTTCGAGCAGTGTTTTATAGAGAATCCCACTTTGGAACCAATAAAAATGGCTACAACATGGAAAAGCATGAAAGATAGACTCTGCATGCGCAACAACTTATCACCAAATGACGTGCCAGTAGCATTAAGGTCCGCCAGGAACTACCACACTGACGGAAGAATCAAAGAGGCGTGTTTCCCACCGTTCATGAAGGAGAAATATTTCTTGAAAGAAGCCAAGTACAATATGAAGCAGGCAGCAAAAGTGAGAACTTACATAGACGAATGCTCTAAAATACCAGAAGATATAGACCCCGAGGAACCAGAGTCCTCGCGTATGTTAGAGTGAAGACCGAAGGCCCTAGTAACTGTCGACCATTAGGAATAGGTCGACTATTTTGACATATTTTGTTCAGACTCCCTATCCAAAAAAAAAAAAAAAAAAAAAAAAAAAAAAAAACGGAAGGACAAGGAGTTGCTCAGGGTATGGCAACCAGTTGGGTAGCCGTTTTTGCTTAGTACAAGTGTAACCCTGAATGATGAAATAAAGGGCTTGGTGTTTTGCGTCTAATGTCTATGTGGATGGCTTAACTTTAACTGTGCGCGATAATCATATCATTGCACGCATGCATTCACACCTATTCTTTTATTTCGATGTTCCTAACACGTCATCTCATTGATAGGTTTTGCCACGAAATAACATCCTTGCTACAGGACTTTATATGTACAACATGGCGGGAATGTCACCCATTATCGAAGAAGAAGAGATGGTAATGTTCGAGTCAATGAAGCGATATAGGGACGGAGGTGATCGTCTACCGAGGGGGCACAGTGATTGATTTGCTACCCATGGGGCCAGTCAGGATTCTTGATAACAGAATCCAATCACTCAAGCAGATGTGGGGAACTTTCACAGAACATGAGCAGAAGGTGTTCACTCGCACTTATGGAAAAATACCTGATCTGTTATATGTCCCATTCCCGGCGAACATGATCCAAGAAATGCTCAACTATTGGGATCCGTTCTATCATTGCTTTTCCATAAATGACAATGATTTCTCCCCCCTTATGGAAGAGTACAAATCTATCCTCCAAATAGATCCCAAGAAGCCGTATAAGATCTACGTCCATAAGCCCTATCTCAAAGCGAAGAATGTATTATCCCAGATTCTAGATACAAAAAGTACAAAGATAGAACATTTAATAGGATCTGATGGTGAGATCGAGTACATTCACGTCGACACACTCATATCTCAGATAAATATCGGACCGAAAAATGAGAAAGATTTGAAGATATTCGCACTGGTACTATATGGATTAATCCTATACCCTCGAATGCCAGACCACATTGACAACTCTGCCATGAAAGTGTTTGAGCAAGATACACATGATGTCAACCCAATATTCTCTATTCTGTCTGAAACATTTGCTGCTTTGGGAAGATGTAGAGAAAATCGTGGGGGCATCCTACTTGGTTGCGCCCCATTACTAGTGGTCTGGATTTTTGGACATCTTAAACCCTCTCCGAGGAAAGGGATCCCGATAATTAGATACTCATTCGTCTTCGACGAAAGGAGATGCTCAGTTAGAGAGTTTGCCTCTGGGGACTTAATATATATGTCAGCATCTGAAGAGCATTGGAAAAATTATTTCGCCACACTCGGGAGTGAAGATATCCAATGGAAAGCCCCGTGGATGTACGAGGGAAGTGTATTGTATAGCTGCGGGTCCGACCCATGGGTACCTCTGCTAGGTCCCGAGGGATGCGTGGCATACGCACCTAATATGTTCAGGAGGCAAGTGGGTTGCATGCAGTTTGTGCCAGCAACCGAAGGGATGGGTTGGTTTAGTTACCGGTATTTCAATCCTGATTCAAAGGCTAAAAGTGAGCGGGTACTACCATGTTGGAAAAATCCGAGACTAATCAATCGAAGTTTGAGCATTGCAATGATGAAAGATGATCAAGACCTCCACAATTTCCTGGCTCCTGAATACGCACCATGGTATCAGGGGCGAGGAAAAGCAGTCACTGTAGACAGGAAAGGCAAGAGGAAAATGGATTTTGAACCCAGATTGCCACCGGCGATACATCATCAAGCAGGATCTTTGGCTAAAGATATGGCTCTAAACCGACTACAACGAGAAAATGATGAGATGCGGGCATACGCAAGAGGGAATTTCACCCAGATAAAGAGACTTGAAGAAGCAAATTATATCCTGAACCAAAGGGTTATTCAGTTGGAAGGTCTTAGCCATGAGCAGAAGTCTACAATCAACGAACACCAAAGCGCAAATTGGGCAATGCAAGAAAGATTAGAGCATCTGGAAGAATGGGGACTACGAACGGAGCATCTTATCAGTAAGCAAAAGAAGGAAGCTATCAAATATTATGAAGAAATTAGCCGATTAACTACTGAAAAAGAGGCTATCGAGAAGGAAAATGCGGACTGGAAGATTACAGCACAAACACTGGAAAACAACAGGCTGAATGAAGAACGGAAAGTTAACCGCCTCATGGAAGTCGTTAGAGGAGCTACTAGAAGAGCATATGAATTGTCCAATGAAGCTGAGGCGGCTAGACTACGTCTGGTACAAATGGAGAATCCGGATCCCGACCTTCGAACCTATCTCGAAAACCTGCAACAAGAGCTGATGTATTATGGAAATTTTCACTAATCATATTATAATACTTTATAATATGGTAATGTAAGGTAGCAGGGGAAT